AGAACTTTGACCCTCTAACCTTGACCTTTGAGATTGACCTACTTTAAAAAAGCAAACCTTGACCATAACTTTTAAAGAGTTAGGGCTAGTGCTTTCATACTTTACGTATTTAATCATTATGACAAGTCCTTTCATTTGATAACAATAACTTTGACCCTTTGACCTTGGAGTTTGACTTACTTTTTAAGAAATTGAACGTTGACCATACATTCTGAAGGTTTAGGGCTAGGGCTTTCATGCTTTACAAAAGTATTTATGTGGCAAGACCTTTCATTTAATACTAATTACATTGACCTTTTGACCTTGACTTTGGAGATTTTTGTAATTATTAAAAAAATTTAACATTACCTTACATTCAAATTTCACAATTGTTTTCCAGTGAGAATACCCTACTTTTGGTACCAATTAATTAAAGTTGCATTTAAGAAAAGCTTAATCTTTGCTATGTTGCCATACGGGGGCATCAGTGTTTTACAAACACATCTTGTTTATTCGGAATTAGACACATTTAATGCTATTATACCACGAAAAAGTTAAGGTAAAAAATAAGCCGATTGTTCAATGAAAAAGATTCAACTGAATGATCACAGAAAGGTCACTGAAATGTATGTGCCATTCAGTCGACTGAATGGTAACTGAATGATCACGGAAAGGTCACGGGAAAGGGTCATTTTAGTGACCTTTCAGTGACCTTTCAGTGACAATTCAGTGGGCATTCAATTACCATTCAGTCGACCGAATGGTGGATTTTCATCCAGTATTAGCTTTTTTAGTCCACTTGTTCTCGAAAAGAATTTTTTTCCCATATACAAATGTACTTCAATGTAAAACTTTAATTCCCTATTGTGGCCCCGCCCTACCTCAAGAGGTCATAATTTCAAAAATTTAGAATCTACACTTCCACAGGGTTCGTGTAACACTTAACAATTCAAATTTCCAAAATTATTTAGAGTTATTTAGAATGTTAATATAATAGTTTAATTTTTTTAATTTCAAAAACTCAAACTGATTTAGTATATTCGAATTTAATATTTTAATTCAAAAACCTAAATTTTCAAATTTTCAATCAGATTTAACATTTTGAATTTTTAGATTTTTACCTTAAATATTCAAAATTCAAATTCCAATAACAAATTGTGTATTTTAAACTTTGATTTTTAATCTACAGTTTATTTAGAAAGTTTACATTTAACAATCTAAAACTCGGTAACACTTTTGTCTGTTGAATATTTACCTAATTTACATCAAAGTTCCAACTTTCAAACGCTTTAGCTTTTAGAAATAGGAATTTCGATTTAAAAAAATTCAACTTTTAAATTACCAAAACCTTTTGTACATTGGGATTTTTTAGAAGTTTACTTCAAATATCCAACCGGTCACGGTAGCCTAGTGGTAGAGCGTTCGCTTCGTGATCGGGAGGCCCGGGTTCGATTCTCGTTCGCGGCGCCGCGTCATACCTAAGACGTAAACAAAGGTAGTGACTGTTCCTTCGCCAAGCGCTCGGCACTAGAAGTGAAAGTCACGGGTCTTTCGGATATGACCTTAAAAACGTAGGTCCCGTGTCACGGTAGGCGCTGGCACGATAAAGAACCCTCACTGCTCAATGGCCCTGAGTGCCGAGTATAGGTCTAAATTTGAAGCCCTTCTCTGGCATACGGTGACGTCTCCATATGAGTAAAAAAATTCTCAAGAGGGACGTAAAACAATATACAATCAATCAATCAAATATCCAAAATATCAAATTCAATATCTGGTTAAAAGTTTGGATATTTTAAGTAAAATTCTAAAAATTCAAATTGTTAAGTTAAAAGAAATTAGAACACTTGAATCAAAATTCCAAATTTCTAAAATTCTTAAACGTTTCAAATTTGGATTTTAGAAGTTTGAAGCTATTTTCAAATAATCAAAAGACGAAAAATATTACCGAACTTTATATTGTTAAGTGTAAACTTTCTGAACAAACGGTAGACTAAAAACCCAAACTATGAAATTCCAGTAATCGTTTTTGGTACTTTGAATTTTGAAAATTTAAGGTAAAAATCTAAAATATTAAAATTCTAAATCCTATTTGGAAATTTGAAATTTTGGATTTTTGAACTAAATTATTAAATTTCAATGTATGAAATCAGTTTGAGTTTTTTTTAAAATTTAGAAATCATCATTTTTAAACTCTAAATCGTTTTAGAAATTTGAATTTTTAACTGTTACAGGGACCCCACAGGATGCTTCTTAATAACTTTCAGCTTTTCTGACACAGTGGTTCTTGAAAAGAGGATTTTTTAACGCTTTTGCCTATATGTTTCTATGTAAAACCTTGATTCCCTGTCATGACCCAGTCCTAACCCTGGGGTCGTGATTTGAAAAATTTTGAATCTACACTGTACCTCACGATGCATCCATGCATGTACATGTATAAGTTTTTTCTAGCTCTTCTGGCCAAATTGTTCTTGAAAAGAAGATTTTTTCATGACCCCATTCTATTAAGTATTTTTATTTTAAATTAAATCCACTTGGAAGAAGACTTGACCCTTTATTTTAACAATTTTGATTCCCCATTCACTTAAAAATGCTTTGTAAAATGTGTGTTAAAAATTGGATCAATGGTTCTTGGAAAGAAGTCGAATATGTTGAAAGTTTATAGACGGTCAGACTGACAGACAAACGGACAGTGGACAAAATTTGTTCCAAAATGCTCACTTGACTGAGCTTTCAGCCACATAATCTTTCAAAAGGATATTTTTACTAATTGGGAAAATCAGATTACCTTTGCAAAAAATTCTCTTGAACTTCGGGACTGGAAAAGGTTAGATGTATGTGACAGCTGTTTAACGAAGTGTAGTTTCAAGTCTGTTGAAATTATGACACCGGGATAGGGCGAGGTTTTTAGTAAATAATATTTTATACACTATCTTTAAAAATCAAAAATTCAGCAAGACCGTCATAGTAGAACATTTTCAACTATAAGCATCGTCATTTAGTGTAAATTTAAGTATGTTCTAAAAAGCTATTTTAGCATATAGGTTATATTCAAGGTCACAAGGTCATTGACCTTGGTGTTAATTGCAAGACCTTAATAATAAGTGTAGGATACATACAAAATACAAAGTCTCTATCTTTCATGGTTTAAAAGTTATGACGAAGGTTTGAAAAATCTATTTTTCTTCTTTTTTTAGCATAAGGGTCACAGTCAAGGTCACAAGGTCTTTTACCTGAAGTCATTTAAAAATTGTAAATTAGTGATTTAGGCATACCAAATATGAAGTCTCTATCATCATGGTTCAAAAGTTATGGCGAAGGTTGAATTTGACAAAAGACAGACAGACAAAAAGATAAACAGACAAACAGATAAAGAGACAAACAAACAAGACAAAAACAATATACGCCTTGGATCTATCGATCCGGGCGTATTAAAGTACATATCCGCAAGAAAAGCAAATCATTTGCATGCATTAAATTTCTTAGAACCTGAAGTGCAGTTTTATCTTTTCCCAAATCAACGTAGGATATGATTGGGTCATAATGGTCGATCAAACCTTTACCAATCTTTGGAAATCTCCTTTTCAAGAACATCAAAGTCATGAAAAAATCATTTAATTAAACTAGAAATATCGAGGTTCAGTTTGTGTATATTCAAGCGTTGTTGAACTCTTTGGAGGAAATGAGTTCATCTAAAGTCAATCCTAGTTTGATAAACGAATTAAAGATGAAAATATCATTTAATCTGAAGAAACAAAGTCATAAATAGTTACACGAATCTTTTAATGTCCTCAAGTAATGTTAATACTTTTTTATGTCCCTTGATGTAGGATGAGAGAAAATAAGAGATACACGTATGTAGAAGTTTCGTAATTTTTTATGCGCCTGGATCGATAGATCCGAGGCGTATATTGTTTTTGTCCTGTCAGTTTGTCTGTTTATCTGTCTTGTTTTTACCTAAACTTAAGATTGATGATTTATATGAAAATTTAGATATTAAAAATCCAGAAGACTAAAGATCTCTTTCAGTCCCTCTCCTCGGGATTAAGGTTCTAATATGAGTTGTATAATTTACTTTACATTTTCTTTGAAATTCTTAAGTAGGACAGAAGGCGCATGATTTTTAAGTCATATGGTATGAATACATGCTAAGTTGCACTCAATGAACATATAAACTTTAAATTTATTTCTGAGGGGCATGAATAGGATAATTTTTTTTAAAAAGATCATAATTTTACACTGTTAAAAAAGGCGAAAATCTTCAAAAACATGAAAAAGGCCACGATTGGTTTTCATGCAAAAACACCCCCTTGGTTGCGTAAATTCACGTTCTTAACTTTTGAGCTTAATATAAGACTCAAACTGCTACTGGTAATCTATGTGGTGGGCAAATTACGTAAACTCTTAAGATACCATTGACAATTTTTGCAGGCGTTTTTTTTTTCAATTTACAGAATTAAAGAGAATTTTTTTTCATGACGCATTTTTTGCGTGCATTTTGCAAATGTGTCCGCTACAATAGTTTTGAAAAAAAGCACTCATATGTCCATTAACTAATTGTATGCATAATTAATAAGTATTGTTAATTAATAAGAAAAAAATACAGTTGATATTTTTTTACTTCTTCGATTAAAAAAATTGATTTAAATTGATATGAATGCAAGTTGTACGACAAGAATCTGGATTTCGTCTACAATCATGCATGTATATATTTCCAAACTGACGTAATTCAACGCAACTGTACAATTATAGATGCTTCAAATTTGTACAAAATGACTATGTACATATTACATAAAAACATTACAATTGTATAAAAGTGTGCAGTGTATTATATTATTTTTTTATGAACTGTATAATTTATATCGCCAGTCTTGGAAATGCTGTGTTTATTAATTTCATAGTACATAAAAAAATCTTTTTTGTTTTAAAAATAAATTAAAAACGTCGTTCATTTGGATTTGTAAAGTAATGATAGCTTTGAAAACTCCATGAAATTTATTGTTATTATATTTGTTTCATTTCAGGCAAATATCATAATTATTCTGAAGACCACAGAAGTTTTCTCTACAGTTTACTGTTGTGTGACAAGTACACTTCTGTTGTAAATGGAGATTCAAGTCAAATCAAGTCAATGTTGAGAAAGATGCGTGAACGGTATTTCGAAAACCTCTCTCCGTCTAATGATATTGATGTAAAACAGCTCAAGCACGAGGTCACTGAAACCCAGAATAATGAGGTAACATTTGTGTCAGACGGCATCCGACATGACGTCATGTATGCTTTCGTCACGGAGTGTCTTGTGGAGGACAGTGATCTGGAGTTTTTCCTGACCACGGCGTCACGTGACGTGATATCAGAATACTGCCGGTCCTGGGGCTATAAGAGGAGTGAGGGAGAGAGATGTCTGTATGTACCGGACTATCCAGAGAAGATGTACGACTTCTTCATAGACAAACTACAGCTGGACATCATCACACACTGTACCGTGTCTGACAGGGGGATTCATGACAGGATCAGTGAACGTTGTAAGTATTTTTAAAAGATAATTTTTTTTCCATATGCCAAGTTTAACCAATATGAAAAAAGCACTGGTCCCATATTTAGGGAATTATAGCACAGGTAAAATTCATGCAGTTGTATTGCTCTAGCTGTATTATATTAAACAATATATTTAACTCCTAAATTAAATCATTTTATAACGTAACCCTTCGACACTCTCAAGTTTACACTTTCATGTTTACACAAACACTGCTCTCTTCTTAACATTTCAGGAAAAAACTCCAGATCACTGTATCACCCCTACTAATGTTATTGTGATTTAAATTTAAGACACGTGGTTTAGGTTGATCTATTCAAAGGTTATAGGGTAGAACCGGTTTTATAAATAAATTTGGCAGTAAGATTTTGATATTTGTCATTATTTGCGGCTCCGATCCTTTCTTCAGAATTTTTAGCCAATGGCAGGTAAAACAGTGTCACAATATCGAGCTGTAAAAGGAATCTATTATTCAAAAACTAGATGCATTGTCAAATCAATGTTATGTTCACTTGTATATTTGATTTTAGAAAAGTATTTTCGCACCTATTACAATTGTATAATTATTATCTACGCAAGTCTAAATGTATAACAAACCAGACTATGAAAAGCTCTATCCATGTAATTTTTTGCCTGCAAATTATACATTTTCTATTATTATTGTCCGGCGACATTGAAACTAATCCTGGTCCGATTGGTGCTTCCATTCATAGCTTAGATATTTTTCATCTTAACATTAGGAGTATTAGAAACAAAATGGAAAGTTTAAATACTTATGTAACTGACTTCGATATCTTATGCTTTACAGAAACACATTTGGACTCTAGTATAAGTGATAGCGAACTTTCAATTGAGGAATTTGATACAATAGTTAGAAAAGATATGAATTCGAATGGAGGAGGAATTATTGTTTATATATCAGAATCTCTTCGAACCATTACAGCTGCATTAGACGTGATGACCTTGAACCTATTTCAATAGAATGTATCTGTATAGAAGTGTGTGTACCCACCTGTAATTTTCTTCTGTGCTGTGTATATCGTCCACCAAACAGTAGCATTTACTTTTGGGATAATCTTATATGGTCTATTGAAAAACCTTCTGATACTTCCAGTAAATTAATTTTAGTTGGAGATCTAAATGTAGATTTGTTTAACATTCCTCGAACACACATCATAAACGAAATTCTGCTAAAATACAATCTCACTAACACTATCCATGAAGCCACTCGTATCACGGGCTCGTCGAACACACTTATTGACCCAATTTTAGTCAACCCAGATGTATCAGTTCTTCACTCAGGCGTGATAAATACAGAAAGTACAATCAGCGATCACAAAGCGACATACATTTTCCTCAAATCCACTGTTAATCTAAACCAATCTTATGAACGCAAAGTGTGGGTATATAAAAATGCAGACATGGACAAATTAAATTCACTCAATGAAAATACTGATTGGGTGAATCTTATTTGTAATGCACAAGATGTTGATCAAGCAACTGAAAACTTCTCTTTGACATTTACGAATATAGTTAGACAAAGTATACCAGAACAATATGTTATTATACGGCCCAAAGATAAACCATAATTTGATTCTGCACTGTGCAAAACTCCTCGAACAAAAATAGACTTAAGTTAAAAGCCCAAAAAAAGCAAAAAAAAAAAAAAAAAATAAATAAATAAATAAATAAATAAATAAATAAAAATAAAAAAAGAATCTGAATGGAAAAATTTCAAACAAGTGAGGAATAAGTGAAATAATATGAAAATACATGCAATTGAAAATAACAACAATAATCTAGAATTACACCTTACGGATGCTAGCAAAAACAACTTGAAATTATACTGAAAAATACTGAAGGATATGTTTTTAAAACGAAAAAATACCTCTGATATTCCAACATTACAATATATAACTGATAGTGGTCGTACAGATATTGCTTATTCAAACGAAGAGAAAATAGATGCACTTAATAACTATTTTACATCTGTATCATGTGTAAGTGTGTAAGAATTACCTGAGGCATATCATGCATGTAACATTGAAATTAGTGGTGTATGTATTACTTAGCAAGAAATAATTGATATTGTAACTATACTTCCTACAAATAAAGCTATTGGTCATGATAATATTAGTCATAAGATGTTAAAATCAGCAAAGTTCACTATTGCTAAACCTCTTTGTTTATTGTTTAAAAGATTTCTAAATGAATGTATTTTTCCCTTTTCATGGAAATTAGCAAATGTACTTCCTCTTTTTAAAGAAGAGGATCCTTCTGTGATGTCTAACTACAGACCAGTGTTAGCAAATGTACTTCCTCTTTTTAAAGAAGAGGATCCTTCTGTGATGTCTAACTACAGACCAGTGTCATTGTTGAGTTGTGTGGGAAAATCATTAAAAGAGTTTTGTTTAAATATATTTATAATTATTTTCATGACAATAATTTTTTTTATAAATACCAGGCTGTTTTTTGTACCTGGGCATTCAACAGTATACCAGCTGATAGAAACATATGATAAGATTGTTAAAGCTATTGATGATGGAAAATTTTGCTGTATGATTTTTTGTGATTTGTCAAAAGCATTTGATCGTGTTGACACAAAGGTCTTTTATTTAAGCTTAAGACATATGGGATTACTGGTAGTTTGTATAAATGACTTGAGAATTATCTGAATTGTCGGTACCAAAGGGTGATGCATCGGAACTTAATATCAACGCCAAAACCCTTAAATGCCGGTGTTCCCAGGGGGCTCAGTTTTAGGAGTACCTTTCTTCTTAATTTATATTAAGGATGTTGCTGATAGTATGGTTACTTTTTGTAGATTATTTGCTGATGATAATTCTTTGCAGCATTCGTCTCATAACATGAAAAGAATTGAAAGAGACTTAAACAAAGATTTAAATGCTCTAGAACTATGGTCTAAACATGGTTATTGAAATAATCCCTCTAAAACAAAAGTGGTAATGTTTAGCACAAAGAAAAATATAGAATATCCTAAGTTTTTTTTTCAACATTGTGAATTAGACTACATTACTGAACACAAACACCTCGGAGTAATACATTTTCACACGATGCCATGGTCACCACATATTGATAATATACTGTCTACTGCTTACAAAAAAAAATTAAAATTAAAAGTAAATCGAAAAACACTCTCACTCATGTATGCATCATTCAAAATACCGCAACTTGATTATGCTTCAGTGGTGTGGGAGTGCTGTCAACATGGTGATAGTGATAAGTTAGAAAAACTTTAACTTTGTGCAGCTAGAATTGTAACAGGGTTAACAACTATAGCTTCCAAAGATTCACTTTATTTTGAAACGGGTTGGGATTCGCTTAGTTGTAAAAATCAATAAGCTAGATTAAAAACAATGCTCAAACTCCATAATAATTTAGTGCCAGAATACTTAATGGACATCCTTCCAAATATGCGCTGTAACACATGTATCTACTCGACAAGAAATTCTCACAATTATGATATTCCAAAGTGTCGATTATAAACTTATAAGTCTACGTTTATTCCTACTGTTGTTAACGAATGGAACTCCATTCCACTTGAAACTCGAAATTTACAGTCAATGTCAAAATTCAAATCTAAAATTAGTAATACAATCAAATTCAAGGAATTGTGGTCCCCCGCTTTCGGTGTCTTTGTTGGTGAAATGTCATTTGTAATGATATATTATTTGTTATATAAACACCCTATCATAAATCATTTATTTAGAAATCATCACTGCACTCCAAGGTCAAGGTCAAAGGGTTAAAGTGTTTGGTTACTGATGAACAGTATAGGCTTCTCACGAGGATTACATATTTGAAGTATGAAAGCCCTAGCCCTTGCCATTCAAAAGTATTATGGTAAAGGTTAAATTTTTTTCATAAGTACGAAAATCCTCCAAGGTCATCTTCAAAAGGTCAAGGTTGTTGATATCAAATGAAAGGTCTTGTCACAAAGAATACATATATGAAATATGAAAGTCCAAGTATCTGCTGTTCAAAAGTTGTAACAAAGGTCATAGTTTTTAAAAAGTACGTCAAACTGCAAGGTAAAGGTAAAAGGGTGATAGTTCTTGGTATCCAATGAAAGGCCGTCTCACAAGGATTACATATATGAAGTATGAAAGCCCAAGCCCGTACCGTTCAAAAGTTATGGTCAATGTTAAAGTTTTTTTCATAAGATCGGAAATCTACAAGGTCAAGGTCAAAATGTCAAAGTTGCTGGTATCCAATGAAAGGCCTTGTCACAAAGAATATATATGAAATATAAAAGTCCTAGTGTCTACGATTTAAAAGTTATGGCCAAAGTAAAAGTATGCGTTTTTTGTTTAAAAGTGGGTCAAACTCCAAGGTCAAGGTCAAAAGGTCAAATTTGGTGGTACCCAAAGAAAGTTCTTATCACAAGAAATACATATGTGAAATATGAAAGTCATAGCTCCACTAAATCAACAGTTATGAGCAAGATTAAAGTTTTTGTGACGGACGGACAGACGGACGGACTGACAGATTAACAGACTGACGGACAGACGAATGAGATTTAATACCCCCTTGCTTTCGCAAAAGCGGGGGTAAAAAAATCTAGATCTTACTCATCTACTTACTTTCATTACGGTAACAGAAGACTTTATGTTCTTCAAACCAGACTACGACATAATTGTGTATTAAATAAGGCCTTTATAGATGCAATTTAATATCAAGTCCCTTGTGCACGTGCGGTAAAGTTGAGGACAAATATTATTTTTCGTATGTCCAAAGTATGCGAATGCCAGAAATGAATTTTTAAATATATTTTTTTTTTTTACAATTTGATAAAATCCACATACAAGATACACATGTCTTATTGTGGGGGGTTGAATCACTGAGTGCTGCAAAGAATAAACGTCTCTTTTCTTTTCTTCAAACATTTATTAAGCATTCTGGTAGATTTCCTTGTTAATTACTTATATATTTATATATTTATGCAAAATGCATCAATTTGTTTACTTTTGCAAATTCTGAATCCTTTATATAGCATGTTTAACTGTGACAATATAAATGTGTAATTTACATGTATAGGGACAGAGTGTTATAAGTATTTAGTACTTGTGCTCAATCCCTATGTAATTATATTATAATAAAATATGTTCAAATAGAATCAACAAAGGAATTAATAAAGACACGCCATACTTTTGCAGTATGACTTTCAGAAACCTAGACCTCCACCGTTTATTTATCATATGAATTGTTTGTGATAATAAGCATGAAAATGATATTTTAAAAAAATTCCCGTTTTAAGTCCAAGATGGATGTTTTGGCTATCCTGGAACACTGTATTTCTCAAAGTAAATTACAATACGTGTAGTTGAGCTTTGTTTTCAATGTTTTATTTTTTCTAAACGAACTTTGTCTTTGGACTCTCGCCTACCTGAACGATGATCTCGGATTGGTGCAGTAATATCTGCTATCATGGTCTTCCACACAGGGGAAAAGAGGACACTCATGCACATTCTTGCACACTGACCATGACGCTTACATCTGTGCATGTAACACTACTCCATTCGAGCACGGCAACCTGGTCCATGGAAAATTCCACATTGGACACAAACTGGATGATGACTCTGAAAGAAATAGTCATCAGATCTCCGTTGTGGTCCAAGGCTGCGATTTACATATAGCGGCCTGTACGAAATCAAAGATGCTTTTTTTCTCTAGAAGTTAGGGGAATCGATTAGTAGAACTCGCTTGGCTGTGAGAGGGAGTCGTACCCAGTTATCTGCACCATTTATAACCGTCTAAATTGTGCATTTACTATTCTGATGTATAAGATGGAACTCCAAAAATACAGCTTTAACAGATTTATTACTAAAGGGGACAGGCTCCGCTAATAAGCGGACGAGAGCGCTTACCAGCGTTGATGTCTTGGCGAAAGCCAGCCGAAACTGAAATATTAACACTAAAAATCAAATTACATACAATTACATAATATTTACAATAGATTTGTTTTATTTATCACTCGATTATATCAATTATTTGTATTGTCTATAGATAAATGTTTAGTCTCGTCTTTGACTCTTAAGTCCTTGACACCTGTTATATTTTATCTACCCGGAGACGCTTTGTTCATTGTGCCAGATTAACACATATACATTTTTACACTAATTTCCTTGTTTTTAAAATGCTTTTTTAAAAAAAAATCTTCTCTGTACGTGGGTATCAATAAACAGACCAAATACTAAGTTGGATGAGCAAGAGTGTCTCTTCAAGAATATTGAATTTCATGTCCCAAAATAAGAGTGATATGTGGTTAGGTTGGGGCTCTATTGATGATATACTAGATAAGTGGTAAAAATGAATTCTTTGAAAACTTTGTATCTGCTCCTGGGTTTAAAGAAACTAACTTTGTATTGAGGTATGATCAGCAAGAGTGCCTTTTCAAAATTTGTGAAATTTATTCCCCAGGGACAAGGTTCTGGTGTAAGGGCACGTTTCTAATCATTTTATAGTGAAAATCTATTAAACAATAGAAATTTAATGCTCAGAGTTTCATAGTTATAATGATGAATGGAAGACAGATAAGTGGCAGACTAGTTCTTCTGTTGATCATAATTAATTTATTTATTTTTCTTTTGGCAACTAAGGTTTATTTATCCGTGGATAGATCCTTATAATTGTTGTACTTATGTTACCGTAAAGGCCGTTGTGCCTCTGTGTTTTCATGTGGTATAGAATTGGAAAAGCTGTATACTAACATTGTAGTAAGCGGTTTTACAAAATGATTTTGTGTCAATTTACGGGTCTATATTAAGAACGTATGCATTCTCATGTATATGTATACAATGTACATGAAGTTCAGATAAATTGTATTTGTATTATTACATCTAAATCCATATAATTCTTCATTTTTCTAATAATTCCATGTATAAAGACATTATAAGGTATTTTCATCCTTAGTTTTTTTCTTACATGTTGAACAAAGTTTAATTTTTTGAACCCTAAGATGCAGTCACTTCTGCTTTGTTTATCATATTTTTTAAAAAAGTTTTAAACAAACATTCAGCACAGAATTATTCAACTATGTTTATCTTTTTTTATTTAGTAAAGATACCAGAAGAAGTACTTAAATGGGATATCCATGCTAGAAGAAGGTTTTTGAAAAACATCAAGGAAAAAAGTGTGAAAATGTTTCGCGCTAGAGGAATGATAGTTGGATGTGCTGGCGCAGGAAAAACAACTCTTCTTAGAAAGCTTCACGGAGGGAAGAGAAAACATGAAGATACTGAAAGTGCAGAGATAAGAACTCTTCGTAGAAAGTTTCAAAGAAGAAAGAAAACTGATAAGGATAGTGCAGGGTCAGAAAACGCATTTCTTCTTAAACAGCGTCAAGATGCAGAATGCATGAATGAAGATAAGCCAACTGAATCAACCGTAGGTCTTGAGGTCCATGAAGATCTGTTTGTTATCGAAGACAGCAAGTTAAAAGGTTACTCTTTGTTCTTCACAGATATGTGTATTTTTAGTTGATACATGTCAACGTGTTAAAGGTACTTGGACACTATTTTAAAGTTAATATTTTCTCTATAATATTACGACTGAAAGTGCAAGGATGTGTCGATCAAACGCGCCAAAAAAAAACTACAAAAAACTGAAGTTTTAACAACTTTTAAATTAAATAAGATTTTCATTTAATTTAAGTGTAAAATGCTATTAAAATATATAAGTCGTAATATTATAGAGAAAATATTGTCTTCAAATCTGTGTCCAAGTTCGGGGTCACTGTTTCACAAACACATCTCGTTCCTTATATTGAGAAGAGATAGGGCTTTCATATTTGACATGATAATTCCGAGCATGCTATGCTTTTGCACCCCTTGACATTGACCTTCACGATTGACTTTATTTAAAAAAAAATTAACTTCAATGATAATTTTTAAATAAATGACATATGAAAGGATGTTCATATTATACACAATATGTCATAAAAAATAACATCTAATCCACAAAGACACCGAAAGCAGGGGACCACAATTCTTTGAATTTGCATGTCTATCTTGGTTCTAAACCGATTTTACTGTTGCACAAGTGGACACATAGGGATTGCAATTTCTTTTTTCTTTGATGTTTTTAATATTTGAATGTTCAATAGTGGTAAATATATGGTGACGTCATTGAAAATATGTTTAGCGTGCTAAGCATTATATTACGGGAGGTGTCTGCGAAGAGATGACTTTATTGAATCTAATGTACAGCTGTAGGTCTGTGTTTGCTTTCCTCTTTTTGATATCGCATACCTACTTCCGTATGCATGACTATTATACTTTAATTTGTTAATATACTTTAATCTTGACTTTCAATATAGTACTGCCTACCAAATGCACAACCCTAAACTTAAATTTCAATTTCAAGGAGCAAGTAACTTTACAGTTTCGAATGCGATATGCATGCGATTTTCAGTGCTCTTATTTCTCATTGAATCGGTGAAGCCAGTAAATTTGTCATTCTTACACAAATAACTGATTGTAGGGAATACGTATAAATCTCTTTATACGTTTCATACGTTTATCCAGTAGTCTTGAAAAGCAAGCGTACAATACTGTAGTTGACTGAAATCAGCAAATAAGACAGAAATTCTGTTCTACTACCAGTTAAAACCCGTTTAACTCACTTAATACTAATCTGATAAACTGTGAAAGCTAAAAAAAAAAAACAAAACAAATTATACAACCAGAAAGTCGTTTTTTGTTTTCAAAAATTCCCAAAGAGACATTTTGTCATGTATGTACTTAGTAAATGAGTTTCTGTGTTATTTTAAAATGTTTTTGCTTTTTTACGTACTTAATCAGATTTTTGTCACGAGGAAGCAAATAGTGAAAATCAATATCTTGACAACAACTTGATAAGTATGACGGACTTTGCTGGACAAGTGGCGTACTACGCATGTCACCAGGTATATCTGTCAAGGAGGGCGTTCTACATCGTGGTGGTCGACATGTCTAAGAAGCTGAAGGAAGAATGTCGATTGTATGACACAGATCGTCACAACCCAACGGGTTCCTTATTCCATTCCTGGACATACAGAGGTGAATATCACTTTATCAAGCAAGTTAAGGACAGATAATACAAACAAAATATAGATGCCTTGATTGGTATTTATTTTTGTCCTAATTTCATTGCAAATGATGCAAATAATAAATTTTTAGATATAAAGGGATTGAAAACCTGTGATTTTCAAAAGTCTATCTTTTAGAATGCATCCTTATCAATCTCTACAAATATTTTACATTTCAAATTCCATGTCTGTTTAAATCTGATTAATTAATGAAAAGCAGCACGGTTAAACTTGTTCATTTTACTCATTTAAACATGACCTAAGTTGTTATTTTTAGTTTTATTGACAAAAATATGTTTGTTTCCTCTGTCCTTAAGGGGCTGGGTTGTTATGGCAATATTAAGCATATATATTGATCTTCATTAGACTAAAACCTCCAAACAAAGATATTCGAAAGTGATTAAATTTTTAAACAATATGTAAAATGTATTAAATTTTTCCCTTGTCAAATCTTAAAAAAATAAGTTAAATCATGATTTTTTGTTGACATGTAGCCTCCTTAAATAAGATATTATTTTCATACATTATAAAAAATCCTTTTCAAATAGCTTTTTGTATTTGAATAATAATGCAGAGGGTATTTGCAGGAAATTTTTCAAATGTATTATATTGTACAGATCAGCAAATGTATTTTGTTGAACAGATCGACAAAAACATGTACCCTACATTCCCCAATCAAAGTCAATATAATTGCAAGAAGAATGATGTATTAAGGTATTTTCCTCAATTATGATTTTTCTGAAACTTGTATGTTTTGTTTTATGATATAAAATCTGTCTTAGTACCGGTATATATGAAATAAATTCAACCACATATTGTCTATCCACTTAGTTGAAATGGGGCCTATCACATCCCAATAACATGGTTGAAAAAAAACAACAAAATCGACTTGAAAATGAGTTTTATTTCAAAGTTATCAATTGATCCATTGTAATAATGTTTGTTACTTGAATCTCATTAATTAAATTTTTGATTTCACTTAGAAACACTTTAAATTATTTTGAATGTCCCCACATGTTTCAAGCATGAAATACTAAGTTGAATGATTTAAATTTGTTTAATTTATTGAACTTCAAACAATGAATTCATGTCTCCCATAACAATTTTATACTTTCATATCTAAAAAAAAAACAATAGTAAAGAAATACAGTAAACATATTTAGAAACAAAAAATATTCGTGGATAAGAAGTTGATTGATTTTTTGGCATTTATTAATCTGTATTTATTTAAAGACTACTTCCATTTTTGGCTCCAAACAATAAATACATACTGCAGTGATGGAATAACACAAAGGGATCCGAAAGACACAAGAGAAACCAAAGACTCCACGCTGAATGTCAATTTACACCCGGTTATTATTATTGCCTCCCATAAAGACAAGCTGGTAAGAACCATACGCACTTACATGTATATCAATTATCAACGAGTATAGTTTACATTTGCATAAATTTGTCATATTCTTTACAAACAGATATTAAGGTCCATGTAATCATTGGTTTGGGATTGTACAATGTAACTTTAATTGCATTGAACATGTCGGAGGGTCATTCAAATTTTCGTAGATTTTTGTTTTAACTTTTTTTTTATTAAAAGTCATATTATATTCAAATTTGGAATATATATTTTAACAACAGATGCGAATTATGAGAGTACAATTTTGGAATAAATCTTCAAAATTATAAAATTAATAAACATTTTGAACAGCAAAAATGGCACAGAGTCAAAAATTGAGTAATTGACTAATTTCACTTTCTAATGTCTATCGCCATGCCTCGAATAGGTGATGCTGAAATGAAATAAAATGAAACTATATTTACATGTTAAAGTTCAGTCTTGTTGTATGACTTAAGATGATATAAGGTAATGTCATACACCGCGTCATTTAAAAGATACCAAATTCTATACACATATAGATTTGTTTAAAAACGGTTGATATCATGATGTTGGAGGACGTCACGGTACACCTAGTAGCAATCAAATCAAGTTTTGCATTCAAGAAACCTCTAAGACAAATTTTAAATCGTTGTACGAGGGTCATTCAAAAAATACGTAGACAATGTTCCTTATCATCACATTATTTTTACAAATCTTAATATCAGTACATTTTTAAATGTAAAAAGATATATTTTGTAGATTTCTGAAGTTTCATTCTATTTGATTAAACGGAACTCATACTAGTCAATTTTAAATGCAACATGTTTTGTCACCACGGAGCACGGTCAAAAACAATGTAACGTCAAAAACAACGTTAAAGAACATTTCTCAAACTCACAGTGCCTTTTCATTTGATACACGGTTTGTATCGTATTCCTCATTCATTAAAACGTTTCCACAACACTTGACAACTAGTATCTAACAATAATTTGAGTATAATTTAAATAAGATTGTCAATGTTTTCAATCCTTTACCATGTAACTCTGCTCTTACAGGTTCCGCAACAGTGAAATGCACATCACGTTTCATGACATTACTAACGCTTTTGAAAAGATTTTGAACTATAATCTGTTTTTTGCAGAACGCCCATCGCCCAATTTAAAGTCTTTACCCCTAAAAAATTGTCTGTTACATTATAAACAAACACACGGCTCATTTTATGTATTTTTCCTGGTCTCTCCAGCATTTTCGGAGTTTGTTTTAAAAGTTTCCAAATGCAAAACAAAATTATATTGCTACTCGCTGCTCCGTGACGTTCTTCAACGTCATGTTTTTTGCTTTTTTAAATCAAGACTATCTGTCTATAGAAATGGATATCTTTTAAACAAAACAATGTATTACATTAACTTTTTGCTTTTGAAGAAATGAAACAATAGTAAATTTAAGTATGTGAATTTTATTTCATTTAAGGACAATTTTAAAGAGGTATGGCTATAGATATGAAAAGCGAATAATCAGTCAATAACTCAATATTGACCCTGCTCCGTGACCCCATTTTTGCTGTCTTAAATCTTTGATAATTTTGACAAACATCAAGATATATTCCAATTTCTTTGCTCAAAATATTTGAATCTGTTGTTAAAATATATGTACCAATTTTGGTTTAAATATGACGTCAAATAAAAAAGTTATGACAAAAGTCTACGAACTTTTTGAATGACCCTCGTATAGCATGGAAATATTTCAAAAATAACAATGTGTTTGTATAAAATTGTATAAAATAGAAAATGCAATATTTGAGTGAGAGAAACTTGGAATCGGATCATTGGATTTTCTGCAAAGAAACGCTTCACTGTTAAAAATCTTATCAAAATAGTTTGGATCACAATGGAAGGAGGTGTTTTTTGAATTTTATATTTAATATTGGTTTGGTTTTTAGTGAACGGTTTGTTTAAGTTTTTCCTTGTACCTTCGCAGGGAGGGATTTTGCAAAAATCGGATGCATTTTACGGCCAATTAGAAGCGAGTTTGTCTGAAGAACAAACCTTGAAAAGACTTATATCACCATACCGATATTTTGAAGTAGAATGTCCGCCAAAAGTATTGAGTCCAGAACAGCAAATGTCAATTGATCGTGTTAAGAAGTGTATCGTAGAAACTGTACAAAAGCTACCACATTGGGGGGAAAAAGTTCCTTTAAAATGGTTTGAATTGGAGAAGAGTCTAAATAGGAAGAAAGCAAACGGAGAAAAAGTCTTGAAGCGGGTAGAATTGAAAGAAACGGCAAAAGCTTTTTCAATAGACGAAGATGACCTCAATGATGTTCTTCGTTTCTTACATGAAATTGGAAAAATCATATATTTTTCTGAGGATAAGCTCAAGGAAACCATTATCATAGATGTGCAGTGGTTTGTTGACGCATTCAAATACATCATAACCGACGAAAAACATTTTGCACGGAGAGACCACAACAACATACTAGTGAATACCGGGAAAACTACTGGGCGGTACATTGAACAAGTGTGGGAAAGTATTCAATACGATCACGATATCAATAATTTTAACATTAATATTAATGGTGAAACTCAAAAACATCATGATTTCTTACGGCATTCTTATTTAAATCATAAAGATGACATTCTACAATACATGGACAAACTTGGCTTGATGACAAGAATTGAAACACAGGTAGGCGATGGCGATGAGAAAGAGATGTATTACATACCGAGTATGAACAGAACCGACCTTCCTGAGAACAAAAAAGATGCAGTCAATAAAAAACAAAAATCACCCATGATGGTCTACTTTTTCAAGTCTTATTTACCCCATTTTTTCTTCTTTCGATTAGTGGTTAATTGTTTAAAAAACTGGAATGTTTGCAAGGAAGAGTCTTTTTTTAAAAATGCTGCATTTTTCAAAGAAGATGCTGGACATTATTTTGCCATTGCCGTCAGCAAAACATCAATTCAACTGCAAGTTTTTACGCGTGGCGAAACAGTGAAAGACGAATGCGTCAGGAAAATTAGGAAGACAGTGGAAGATATGATCAAGGAAATTACAGAAACCTTTCACAAGGGAATTTTGTACGATATTGGTTTTTCATGCATGGACATTAAAATCGCAGATGAAGATGACAGATTCTTTTTGAAAGAGTCTGAAATAATCCAGGAGGTATGGAATTCCATGGAGATGTCGTGCCCAAGACATTTTCTAGGGTCAAACGAACACACTATTGATACAAATAAAATACGTATGTGTTTGTTAGAGAGAAATCCCACTTTGTCTTTAAAGGACAATTAGAACGTACTTTACAGAGCTGAAATACTTTTGTAGTTGTTTAAAATAGGCTTGTGCGTCGGTACATAAAACGCTATTTCTGAAGTGAAAAGAAGGGAGAAGAAATACACGAGTAAATTATATTTAGGATATTTTGGCATAATACTCGAAGCACACAGAGACGGGTGTATTATTGAGGCATCGGATACTTTTATATGAACGAGTTTTAAAATATTTATATGACCGTTTAGGCGCCACAACAGGTTGCCCTCAAGTGTAGTGTGATGTAATGTAATTTATAATCTCTGAATTGGCAAGGTCATACTTTATGTATATTATTTTCTTACCGATTGATTGATTGATTGTATATTGTTTAACGTCCCTCTTGAGAATTTTTCACTCATATGGAGACGTCACCGTATGCCGGTGAAGGGCTTCAAATTTAGACCTATGCTCGACACTCAGGGCCATTGAGCAGTGAGGGTTCTTTATCGTGCCAGCGCCTACCGTGACACGGGACCTACGTTTTAAGGACATATCCGAAGGATCCGTGACTTTCACTTCTGATACCGAGCGCTTGGCGAAGGAACAGTCGCTACCTTTTTTTACGTCTTAGGTTTGACGCGGCGCCGGGAACGAGAATCGAACCCGGGCCTCCCGATCACGAAGCGAACGCTCTACCACTAGGCTACCGTGAACGGTTTTTCTTACCGACAAATAACTCTAAATTTTAAATTGGTCATTATTTATAAATATCATAAATTAAAGACAACTTTAAATTTAAATTCTTTAGCAAAAAAAACCCCTAATTTGAGCATTAACTGTGGGAAAAAAATACTGATGTGACAACGTTAACGTTTGTTTGATCAACAAATAAAACTGTAAAGGATTTTTATGCAAAACCACAGGTACTTGTGGACAGGACCCCCCCCCCCCCCCCCCGATATTCAACCCCGGGGCTTATTGGACATTTTTTTCAAAAATTATATTTATTACACTCATTCATCATGTGAACAATATGAAAAAATCGTCAAAACTCCAAAACAATCGCTCCACAAAAAATACTCCACTATACATTATAAGAGAGAAAGGTATGCCACTCCGGTTTCAAATTTCCCTAAGTAAAAGCAACGGAAGTGCATAGAGAATATATGATAAAAACCGAGAGAGATTATTACGTCACACAAAACTCTCTCGGACGTTATCCTAATAAGTAAAACATTCTCTATGCACTTCCGTTGCGATTACTTAGGGAAATTTCAGCGTTCTGACTGGAAAACTGTTTATGGAGATAATCAGATATTGTGGGATTCTTACGAGATGCAGAGTTAATCCGATAGCATGCAATAGGACAGAAATATATGCAGAGACGATGTGAATCGACATTTTAGGTTGAAATAAAATAAATACATGTTTTTAAACCCAAAGACCAGTGGGAGTACAACGTAAACAAACCGGAGTGGCATACCTTTCTCCCTTATAATGTATAGTGGGAATATTTTTTGTAGAGCGATTGTTTTGGAATTTTGACAATTTTTTCATATAGTACACATGATGTATAAGTGTAATAAATATAATTTTTTTAAAAAATTTCCAAAAAGCCCCGTGGTTGAATATCGGGGGGTGGGGTGGGGGTCCTGTCCACAAGTACCTGTGTGCAAAACATTTATATTTGGTGAAGTTTTTCAAAACACTCTTTTTATTGTAATATATCTCTAAAACATGGTTCAAAAATGTCCTTTATATGCAAATCTGTTTTTTTTTTCATTTTTTTTTTAGAAAAAAAATCTTTTATTTAAGATACAATGCTGTGTAATGATTATGTATAATCTTAAACCCAAATTTGCTTTCAAATTGATTGATATGTGTTTGCTTTTATGTTTTATCTTACACGGAAATGTGTACTGTTCAAGATTTTATTGATACATGTACTAATACTTGCAATGGGTGAGAATAAAAAGAATATGCTTTTTTTATATACACATGTAATATCCTTTTTATGCATGGATGTAAACTTCATTATTTTAATTTAATATTCTATATCAAGTTCGTGAATATTTACCGGTATGTCATATATTATAACGGCCGGTTTTATAGAATATTTAATTTACAAAGGAATAAAAAATCACATATATACACTGTGTGTTGTTACACTGCAGCGGGTCATTATATTATAAACAAAAATCGTAAGGATTTTAGACATACGGATCTGGCAGAAAAACAACGATATCCAGATTACAAATCAAAACTTGTTAAATTGAATCTTACTTAAATTTAATTGCATTCCACTTAAATTTAATTATCTTGTTCATTCGTTGTGAACGTGATATGTTAAGGTTTCTTATACAATGAATGGGGATGGTGGTTCAATATTATATTCTCCAAATTTTAGTTCAAGGTCAGCTGTTATTTTTTGTGTTTGTACACACATTTGAATTTGAGTTGATATTTGAGCTCGCAAATTTCATCTGCCAATTGATTAACAATTACCAATAATTCTGATTAATACTGTGCAATCACAAATTTTCGGGGGGTGGGGGGGTGGGGGGGTGGGGGGGGTTAATTTTCGTTGTTTTGGAGGTATGAAGAGACCCATGAATTCATGTCCACCACAAAATATACAATGTTACAGACATAACAACTCAACAATTCTTCATTCACGAATTCAAATCCCCATGCATGAACCAGGAGTTTTTTTTTTCAAACCACGGAAGTTTGCCCTCACGAAAATATGTGATTTTACAGTTTTAGCATTCGGAGATTAGGAAGGCCATAACATTCTTCGTATATGATTTTCAGTTTTGTAATTTAGAGCAGTCGTTGCACAATGCATTGGTCTATTTGTGGTTCTTAAAGATAAAGTCTGTGTGGGAAATACTGTGCAATAACTAGCTACAGTTCATTATCAATGATTTCTGAGTAATATTTAGACTCAATATATAAACACTGACAAATGTCAGAGTAACTATTCCATTCCAGCAGATACATACTTTATTCGGTGGCGTGTCAATCAAATAATCCCCTTGCATCTGTACAAGTAGTACATCAGATATTTGAAGATTTTTAAAGGCTTGTCCCCTTACAGTTTTTTTTTTATATAATGATGAATCTTCTGCAAACGTTTGATGAATAGTGAAGTTTTTCTACAAATGCAGTTTATTTTCAGTAAATAACAAGCAATACAAGCAGCAAACTAGGACATGAACCAATGACCCAGATTTAACGAATTGGCAATGAGACATAAATTTCGGTTAAAGTTTCATGCTCCAATTTTTGTTTTGGCTAGTTGAAGTAATTTCCAAGTACATATTTTTGTGAAAGCTTATGGAGCACTGCATTTAAAATTGAACCTCCTCGCCAAACAATAACTGGATTTTGAGAAGTCACGTTTCCTTTTTACATATAAAGTAAATGCATGAAATTGTGTAGCCTCAAACCTGTACGTTTTTGTCATTTCACGAATATTAGCCTCTCTTTGATCGAAATGTCATCTTCCTGGAAAAGGTGGAAAATCTTGACGTCAACAAATATTCGAAGCAGATAGATCCATTTTAAAGATGCTTTTTACTTGGATGATTTAGGTGGAACATATAGGAGCTGACAGAGGATGCCCAAGCAATCTTGTTATCATTTGGACATCCTGGCTTTTTGGCATCAATTTTATATTGTTTTTTTTTAAAGAATATTAAAAAATATTTTAAAAATAATGAAAAAAGAAACGTCATTTACATTTGTATTCAATTTAGTATATTTCAAAAATAGCATTTTACAATATTTCGAGTTTGAATTAAAAAGAAAATACACAAAAATGCATATCGGTATGTTATATGAATAAAGACATGGAAGGAAATGAACAATTTGAAAGGATTGTGAAAAAAAAATCAAGTAAATACATTCATGTAAATCACGATCCTTCATCAGTTAGATAAAAGCTCATCTGTACTATAGTTGTTAAAATGTATGTATGTAGGTCAGCAAGTTCAAGGCTATTGCACATGATCGTTTCAAGGACAATCATCTTAATACAAATAAAATACATGTAGCAATGTAAAGTGTCTATAGTAGGAAAAACCTTGAATGAAGTTTCTCAATAGGGTAAATATAAACAACATGGATTTAATAGCAACAATGTTGTGGATAGTGAAATCAAGTTGGCAATTAATTTATTTAGAATTCCTGTAAAATAATTTTAGTTTACATATTCTACTTATATACAATAATTGCATATGAATCTTGATAAGATAAACCAAAAAATTACTCTTCTGAGTATGAAATAATATTAAAGCTAAACACAACTTGTAGTTAACATGTAAATCAGCATACATTGTACGTCATATCAGAATTTAGATAATTATCCCATTTCAACATTGGAGAATTCCCTTAGCATTTTTTTTACATCTGATTGTATGTTTGTCACGGGCATCGGTTTTGGAACAGAAGACACGTACGTGTTCATGAAAGTTATATTCTTAACTAAATGTTAGCTGTAACAAAAAGCGTACGCAAGTGAGTTAAGGCTAAATATGAATATTTCTATGCAAATGAGCTAATTAAAATTCATAATTTGTATTTTTTATGTACAGAGAAAAATCAAATTGATTTTCTAATACAAACTAAGTACCCTCAGTTTATTAACGCAAGTGCACATTATGACGTCATATCATGACGTCATTTTCTCTCCCATTCAAGATAATAAATCACATCAACAAAATCACGTCGGCGCAAGGGCATAAACTATCTAATTGAAAATAAACAATGTATAATATTAAGGAGAATATTGTTAAAATTAATAAAATTGCTGCACTAATCCTATGAACTTTCTTAATTGATAAAAACATTAGGAAACTTTCACTGGAATGTGATTTTTTACCATGTTTAAACTTAAAACTGCAGGAATAGTAGCTAAACAATTGTAGTGCCGATATTTGTGCAGCAATATCTTAAATCCTTGGAATCTCCTTCGTTTTTTTCTACCTTGTTTCTGTAAAACAAAGTAAGGTATGCCCTCGCGCCGAAGCGATTTTGTTAATGTTTCTTATAAGCTTGTGTAGTAGAGTTTGATGACGTCATAATGTGTACTGGCTATGGCATGTTGTGGGTACCAATAATGGAAGGATATGGAAATAACGAACAGTATTCAATCTCAACGTCCATTAAACAATATACAAAATAAGAGCAGAGCAAACACGGACATCTGAAACATCAGAGGTGGGATCAGGTGCCATGGAGGAGTGAGCATCCCCTGCCGACCGGTCACACCCGCCGTGTGCTCGTTGTCATAATCAGGAAATAACGGAAAGGAAAAAATCCGTCGTCAATTCAGTGTATAAATAATGGACTAACA